AATGTTTCGTCCCCTTTCTGTGCTCTCTCTGTGTCCTAGTGAGGGCACTTCTCCAGATCCCCTTGTTCTTTCACCACCTATTGAATCCTGAGAACTGCCCAAACACCCCATAAATAATAATGAATGGAAAAGGGTACTTGGGATCAAGCACACAACTTTGCTATATAAATGTCAGGTGCTTTGTTAGGAGTGTTTTATATTACTTAGTGGTGAATTAACTTCAGCATTTGTATCATGGTCAGTGATCCCTCGGAGACGTGAAGATTGAGGCTGAGGTGAAGAGGACAAGCAGACCTCTACTTCTGGCAATCTCAAGATTACCCTCCTTTCCTTACCTGCTGTTGCTGTCAGCTTCAGGTGCACAAAGTTCCTAGCCAGTGAACCTTTCTCCTGAACATGGTGTGACATACGAAGTGTTTTATGATGACTCAAAAAGTGCAATAAAAGGGCAAGCATGTGTGTTCCCTTTGCACGTGCTATATGAGATGCAGTATCTGCACTGTGTATGGCTTTCTGATGATCTAATGAGAGGCCTGTGATGTTCATCATCTCTAGAGCACAGTGTGGTCTTTTACAGTGTGGTCTGCATGAAGATGGACACAGCAGGTCTGCAAGGAGTCATAACTGAACCACGAATTGTATTTACAAATATAGGTTTATTAACATGATGGCTAATGAAAAGCTAATCACCATAAAATGTTTGATATATTAACGGTAAAAATGCAGCTATGGTAATAAAAATAGCATTGGAAACATAATATCCTAATGAACAGATCTGCTCCTTGTGTATACTCAAAACCACATCTGCCTAGATTAGTGAAAAAATGAATTTTTTTTCTGTACTCATTAGTAACATGGAACTAATGGATTCTGCTCTGATTCTCTCCATAGCAACTGAATTCCCTGCCAGTTCCAGTGGCAGGACTAAATTCCTCTCCCAGTTCGTTCAGTACAGTTTTGTTGAGAAGAGTGGGACAGCACAGCAGTAGTCAAAAGGAGCACTCTAGGTCCCCAAGACTGCAAAGGTGTAACTTAGTACAAAATTTAACTTCCAGCTTTTTTTTTCTGTTATTGCTGCTGGTAATGCATAAGCCAGAAAGAACACAGCTTGACTTTCAGAACCTGGCTTCTGTTTGCAGGTCTGGCAGTTGGCAAAAAAACCATTATACTGTAAACAGTGCAAATTTGATCTGGAGGCCATTGAGATATAACAAGTGTGGAATCCCATAGTGCCATTTTAGGCAGTTGCTTTTTGGAGTGAAACTGCGCTTTAAACAGTGAAAGCTGATTATTTCTTGCTGCACTGTTTATTTTGTTCTGAACGATTATGATTTGATGGAAACAAGAAGCTCTGAGATAGCTTGAGATGCTGTAAAAGAGCGCACCTGCAAAACATCTTTTAAATACCATTGCTTTTTTAGTCAATAAAGCCTTGAAACTTTGCAAATGAATAAAGATACAGTTTTTGCTCGAGAGAAAGAAGTGATTAAAAGACATAACACCCAGGAGTGTAAATGAGCAGTAAATCATTGCCACGGTCTTTTGAAATCACTTTCAGGCCTCTAAAATGCCATCATCCTCCCTATTTGGGATTTTGAGTCCCCAAAAGTGTCTTTTGTAAGCTTTGAGAAGTGAGACTTGGTTGCAAATTCAGAAATCACCGTGCCATATGCATTGTTTTTGTTATTGCCTTTGTAAGTTTGTAGCTGGAAAAATCTATTGTGATCATGTTCTTCTGAGCAACCATTTCCTGAGCTATCTAATGCGATCCTAAACCTCACACTGTCTCCTCCTTGTCCCCCAGGTGTTTCTCTGGATGGCCATTAACCACCTCACTCCTTTCCCATTTAAAAAGCCTTTTCTAATTTCCAGCTTCAAATTTATTCATGGCTGGCTTATAATCATGTGTTCTTGTGCCAACATTGTCATTTAACTTAAACAGCTCTTTTCCCTCCCTGATGTATATATAAAGCGACATCATACTCCTGCTCTGCCTTCATCTTCCTAGGCTAAACATTTTGTTAGGCTCTTTTTGTCTTCTCTCCTAAGCAAGGCCCTCCATCACATGATTATTTCAATAGCCCCTCTCTGCAACCTGCTTGAGCTTTGTGGGTTTTGTGAACATCCAAGTGATATTTGAGGAATACAAATGTGAATCCAGAACTTCCCTGAGAAAACTGGTAATTAACTATGCTGTTTAAACATCTGCGTTTATTAGATTAAAAAGCCCTTCACTATCAGGAATCTCCCCATGTTGATACTTTTACAACATGACTAGGCAGTGGAAGGCTACTTCACTGTATGTTGTACAAGTTTTACATAATTTCTTCAAATTCTTCAGTAGACAGACCAGTACTTGCAGATGACACTTGCATTTGTGACATGCAGTTGAATGTTTGGGGGCTATATACAGCGAGGCTTGTAGGATACTTAGTATTGCTGGGGGCAGTGGATCACACAAAGACACCTGTATTTTGAAACCTGGAGAATTTTTCAACTGATACAGAAGACTGCAGAAACCTGAGAACTGTAGCAACCTGAAAACTGCTGAGCAATTCCCAGTAAATCCATGAACATTTCTGAGTGAGACATGGAAATGATAATACAGAGATGTGAGCAGTTCCTAAGAGATCACATTTGATTGAGTTACTGTAGCTCATCAGTGGAGGCACAGTAAAGGGTTATGTGTTCAAGTCTAGTCCTTTGCAATACCAAAGTAAAAAGCATTTGCTGAAACAATTTCATAGTAGTTAATTGACCTTTTACAGTGGTTTAAGCAAACAGATTTTACTTCAGATTTGCCGTGAATTTGGATCATGCACATAATCAGCTTGCACAGCTCTATTTATGAGTGCTAACTCATTAAGCTGTGATAACTTGCTTACTTACAGTCATCTGTCCACACTCATCATGCTGCCTTTAGCAATGTGCCATAGCTGGTTTATGCTGGAAAGAATTGGAAGGCTTTTAGCATTGAATGAATGCAACCAAGGTATTTCTCGTCAGCAACTTAGGGGTTTAGCAGAGAGAAAACTTCTGAATGTTTTTGGAACAAGAAAACAGTACAATTTCCCTGTCCTTCTTCCTAGGCTTAGGATATGGTTGAATTTCCTATTGAACAGTCATTAAGAGCGTAGATTCTACCACTGCATCCAATGAACAAAGGAATTTGTCTCATTGTATAAAGATATTATTGGAATTTAAATGCTGAAGGCCAGGTAGGCCTCAGAGTTACAACTTCACTGATACGAATAGGAGTCATTCATTCAGGAAGCAGAGCAGTTGCTGGAAGTTCTCAGCAGGCTCAGGGAGACAAGGTTGGACCCATTTTTGCATTTAATTCATGTAGCAGAGCTTTTCTTTAGAGCTAACATTGATAAATCCATATTACCCTATTGCTCTTACGTGGCATAAGAATAATTAGGGATGCTTAGTTTGTCTGAAAGTAAGGCTGCCCAAAATAAGATATGCAATGAAAATTTAAGTTACTCTAATCTAGTTCTTCTGATTCAATGAGAATTGAAAACAATATAAAGCATTGTGTATGATTATGAATTATACAGGTTAAATATAGCATGCTACTGCACACTTAAAATGGTTGCTAATCATTTCAGAACATTTTTTTTGACTGATAGGAATAAGGTAAGTATTGCTTCTTCAAAAAATGTTGAGAAACAGAATACAAAAAGAAATCCTTATCATGTTTCTTGGCAATGCAAGACCAAAGGTAAACACTTTGAAGCTTATAATTCTGGGCAGACTTGTCTGTGTCTTGTATTTGGCTTGATCTTGAGCATTTTTCAATTGACTTGGATCACATTCCATAATCAAAATCGTAATGACTTCTTGGTTTATTACAGTAGAATGATTTTGAAGCCAGTTCTGCTCTCTTATCATTCAATGAGATTTCTGGAATACTTAACAGTTACACTCCTTTTTAAATCAAAAGTGAAATGTATTGTTTTATCACATAACCTTCATTTACTAAGCCCAACTTTATCTTAACAATGTAGAATCTTGCACATAAAATCTAGCTTGTTTTGCAACATGGGAGCTGTTATAGAAGCGTGCTTAGTAAACTCACCAGTACAGTGCCACTGAGTGAATCTTTAAAATGCAGTCATGTTCATCATCTATGCTATAATTCCACAAGTTCAACTCATTTAACTGAGGGATAGCGGTAGTCCGAAGGACCTGGAACTTGTCCCATCTCTTCCATTGACTCAGTGAAGCTGAACTGCCACTGAACTGTGCAGTTTCTCTTTGTGTAAGCTAGAAATGGTTTGCATTAGGTAGATCCCCAACAACTTACTATAGAGGGCGTGACTTCCCCTTGTGGTATGTACCCATACATGGTCCTGCCATATACCTTTACTTTCGCAGCACAGTTGTGTAAGGTTGATGCCACAAATTTCTCACTGTGAAGTTAGCAGAACTGAATCAAGATTTGCAGGATTAGACTCACATCTTACTTCTGTACAATATTTGCAATAAACTGATGATTTTCATGTCATTTGCGCACCTTACTAAAGAGAGAAAAGCAATTATTGTTATGTCAGTTTATTTGATCATGTCCCTTTCTTTTCTTGCTGTAAGTTCCTAAATCTGTGCTAATGAGAAATGACCAAGGATGATCTGATCGTTTGTAGCATGTCACTCCTGTTTTGTGCTCCATTTTGTTCCCTGGAGTTTCACACAATAATGGCAAAACACCAGTGCATTCAGAATCAAGTACTAAATATGTAACCTATTTGTAGAACATATTTCTATACAAATATATACTTCTAGTGCTGCCTACATTCAAAATGTGCCTGTATGGAGCATTCTTTGTATTTTACAGGATGAAGGTCAGCAACTTGCAAATTCATAAGAAAAATCCTAAACACCATCAGAATGCATGGCCAAATCTTCCATATTGAAGTACTAGAGAGTGTTCCTGCGCAGCTATAGAAACAGCTTAGTTATCTTCTAAATTAGTTGATCACTTTTTTTTTCCCTAGGATGTAATTGGAAAAGCACTGCAGTATATTGGAACATATGGTGAGCTCTGCAACACAGAGCAAGTTGTGGCTCTGATTGACGAGGAAATGTGTATCAACTGTGGCAAATGTTACATGACCTGTAATGATTCTGGCTACCAGGTAAGAGCACAGCTGTAATTAGCAGAAAGGCACAATAAGTTATCTTTCTGCTGCTGGGAAGAAAGAAACCACCTTCTGTTAATGAGCAGGTGGTAAAAACAGATGTCTTAAATACTGGATTTGAACCCCAGCATGCTCCCAGGCCCTGCCTGAGCTGTTTGCGGGGCAGTGAGAACACTGCCCAGCATGGCTGCTTCTGGAGGGCCACGCTGAGTGTACCACATCTCACTGGCTCGCTCTAGGTCACTCTCCCAGACTCTCCCTACCTGCAAGTGGGAAGTGGGATTCTTTTTAAGAGGAAGAAAATGAGGGGGACCCAAGTCAGATGGCAGTAAATGTAGTTATCTGGTGGTTTTAAAGTACGTGAGGGAGAAAGGGAAGAATGCATCCCTTCCCACCAAGGGGATGCAGGGAGACAAGAGCTGTTCTTACTGCCGAGTGCTTTCTAAGAAGCATAGTCCTTGTTCCATCAGCATTACTGAACTTGAACTAATTCAGGTTTCAGGCGGGTGGGTTTTTGTTTTGATTTTGATTGAGGTGCAAATCCTTTCTCCAGGATAGCTGCCAGGGTTTAGAGCAGCAGGTTCAAGTTTGCAGAAATCATTGTGACCAGAAAATAGCACAATTCTAAGCTGGGGCTCCTGTTTGCAGCAAAGTATTTCTCTGTTTTCCGCTCAGTATGGTAACACAAGTTGTATGAAATGTGTCAGCATTGCTACATGCCATTCCTTGCCATGTCCACTGGAGCTGATGAACTGGTCTGCAGTAAAAAGGGCAGCACAGGAGGACTCATGTTCTTTTAGCAAACTAAAATACAGTGTAGCATAAGCCCCATGGAATCCATTATGCAGTAAGCAATAATTTTTACCTGAATTTTTCCATTCATCCCAGTACAAGAATAGTTTGTGAGAAACAAATACTTTAACCGAGGACCAAGTTTCCTCTGAACACCAGGACCTTTTGTTTATCCTTAATTCAGTCTAATCAATCGTAGGTCTGATGATTTTAACTACATACAGTCAAAGAAAGAAGTCTTCCCATTTAAAATCAACTCCTGCAATTACAAGTGTGTCAGAGCAAAGGTAGACACATTTTTTTCCACTGATATGAGAAAATTAATGCTGCATTTATACCAGATTAGATTACTACAGTAGCCTTTGAACTGTCTAAATTTCTTCTTGACACTGCAGTCTTCACCTCTTCTTCCGTCAGATTTCCCAGTGAAGGGGAGGATATAGTCCTTGGAGAGCAAAAGACTGTGTTTATATTTAGTAAAACTTTCTTTTCTATAACTGGAAAAAAAAATCAGCACCAGAAGAACCAAAGTTTAAAACCCCAGGAGGTTTACTCAGCACAAAAAAATGGTTTTTCCTTAATTAATTAAGGAAATGGAAAAGAAATTAATTGCAAAGAATTGCAAAGAAATTCTTAATTGCAAAGAATCACCCCCCTTCAAAATAGCATCTGCTTTATGATTCTCTTTGTTTCAAAAATACCCATGCATCTCTACAGAGCTATCACCTTGTATGACTCCAACAGAAAAGCTTTCCTTAATTTAAAGTTAGCACTGCGGCCCTGACTTCCTCTGCCTCCCTGAACTCCCTTTCAAGATGCACATTGTTAGGGAGAGAGGAAGGAGTCCTTCTTAAATACTCACAAGCCAAAGCTCTCTTTGTGCTCAAGCTAAACTAAAACTTGTAGGTTCGGAGCAGTTGGTACCTACTTCATGCCCTGCTGGTTGCTACAGCAGCTTCTGTGCTTTGCTAGTAGTGAAAGCCCCACTGCAGCCAGCCTGCCTCGGGAGCCAGCCCACAGCACCCCTGGGTACCTCCCACCTCCTCCCGGGCTCCCCGGTGCTGGCGATGCCCAGGGAGATTTGCCAAGGCATCACTTGTTTGCAGACAAGTGAGAGTTCAGCTTTCAGGCCTGACTTTTCTTTCCTAAAACTCTTAAAAGTAGATATTTTGGGGGTTTTTATTTTATTTTTTACTTTTCTAGGCTTGGCTCTTAGATATTGAAGCTTTTGTGGTTGTGTAATGCTTTTGTTTTCACTTTTGATTGACATTTGCATTATACCAGGAGCTTATTTCATTGAGACTGCAATTGTTCTTTTGCATTCAAATACACTTTATCACCCTAACTGGTAATGAAGATTCACTGCATGGAAACGTGAGAACTAAAGCAAGTTCTGCCTGCCTAAAATGCAGATATCCCTTTCGAAGATTTGCAAAGGAAAATAATCACGAGGCACAGCATGCTGTGTTTTTCTGGGCTGTTTATTAGATTACATTGTTTATGCTGTGCTGAAAATAAAAGTCAGAAGCATGCATTGTGGCCAGCGTTTCGCTGAAGCCCTTCAGGCACCACACCCTGCCACATTGCTGTCTTACAAAATATTTCCTTCACACGAAGGAGAAATACCGCTCTGGGAGTTTAAACATCATGGGCCAAACTCCTCCTTTTGTAACCAGCCCGTGTGACCCGTGAGCTTTCACCACAGTATGATTTGGCCCATATTTCTAATTTTAGAGTGTCGAGAGAGGGGTTGTTTTGTTCCCTGCCAGTTGAACAGTTGCTGTAGCTGCAGTGCAGAATCACACCAAGATGTTTCCAAGTGCTGTAGCACAGGAAATGCAGACACTAAAATGGGAGCAATTTTGACCTTTTCCATGAGTGACATCAATAATGTTTATTCCTGTTCGCAGGCTATCCAGTTTGATCCCGAAACCCACCTGCCCGCGGTTACTGACAGCTGTACAGGCTGCACCCTGTGTCTCAGTGTCTGCCCTGTTATCGACTGCATCCGCATGGTTTCCAGGACAACACCCTATGAACCAAAGCGCGGGCTGCCCTTAGCCAGGAACCCCGTGTGTTGAGGTGATCGGTCCGACAGCTCATGTGAACTTTACACTTGTTTGATGCAGTTGATTTGCTTTCTAATTAGTCCTTGAAAATCTTCTCTTATAAAAAAATGCAATATTGATAGCCATTAAAATGAACACTGTGTTTTCCAATTATTATTATTTTTACAACCATTAAGTTTTGAAATTACAGAAAGGCAGCAATTAGTCAGTCGTGGCTGTCAGTTGTCCACTATTTGAAGTGTAACTTTCTCTTCACAATTCATGCTGTAATTTCAAAATTTCTCTATAGACTCTTTAATCTCTATGTATTTTCTGGCTGTAAATATAATTAAGAAAGCATTTTTCATGAACTACAAATCAGTGTACAAGCTAACTGTTTTCAAGGAGGCATTTTTTAATTAAACATTACATTTAGTTTTAAAAGAGTTTCTTAGAAGATGTAATTAACTACATAGCATTCAAACAAAGCAACGTGGCTTCTGTTTTTCTATGGGAAGAAATGAAAGGGAGTTTAAAATAGGATTTAAGAACTGGATTAATCACTTTCAACTACTACAGCATATGGTAGTGTATTTTTATAATCCTTTCTAATTCTTTCTCACACTAGTCACTTCATAGAATAAATTTGCTGTGCACTGACACATGCTGGACTCTTCACATTTGTGTGTTGCATGGGTAGTTTGATCATTACTTTTTCCCCCCAATGAACACTCATAACATCTCTCTAAAAATGGTTGAATCGGCTTATTAGGAAGTCCAGGTTGCATTTCAGGATTCTGAGATGTGACAACTATTTTTTCTCCAAGCTCATCCTCTAAATAACTTTTTAATTGTGCCAATTAATGTTCCAGAATATACATGTTACAGGTCAGAGATCTGATTACGTGCAAATGGAATACACACCCTGCAGACTGCATTTGCCAAACACAGACACATAGGGCAAACTGGCAAGATGATTTCCCCCAGTGCCAATTCTTCATACTTATTGGTTTTGTATGGTTATAATAGTTTTGCAACCAAAAAGAAACATAGATTTGTCTGTCTTGCTAAACAATACTTCAGTTTTAATCCATTTTTCACGCACAGTAGGAACTTTCTAATATGAATGTATTACTGTCTGCTTTACGCAGAATGTAAAGCCTTTAAGTTTCATAATAATAAATGATCTATCAATTCAATTTCTTATACCCTATATTGTGCTCAGCAAAAGCTTTGATTAAAAATATACCCTGACTTCTGTTTCTTGATATATGAATTGTGACCAAATTATAAATAAATCTGGGAACCAACTTGGGTTTGTGTGTGGGATTTTTTTTCATTTACTAAACAGATTTTCTTGTACAGGCTTGTCAGGTGGTGTTTCATGATCTCTAAGATTCACTCCAGGAATCATTAATGAGTTAATTCATGTGTAGATGATTCCATTAATTGCCTACAGTGCAGAACGTAGCGTGCTCTTTGCCCCACTCTGGTACCTCTTTGTCTGCCTTTGCCTTGTCTTCCTTTCGCATCCCTTCGCCACATGCATACACTTGCATGCACACATATGTACACACTGTGCCACCCGAACATTCTGAAGTGTCATTTCATTCAGTATCCTTGCGCCACCAACACTGTTTTGCTGACACTTTGGGCTTGCACTCTGATCCCTTGGCAGGCTCAAGCCCAGTGTCTCCATTAGCAGCTTTCTCTTCATACTTTAATTTTTCTCTTCCTTGTGAATTTTTCACACTCAGATGAAAACAGGAACAGATCGTCATACTGCTTCGCAAACACTGGCCTGAAACTTCTTTAAAGCTCTTGGTTTCTGGTAGTTTCTTATCTTACATGAGCTATGAAGGACTCACAGGAAGAACAAGCTGTTTTGTGAATGTTAGGGGCAAAGTTTGGAAAGTATCTGCATGTACTAGTACTTCTCCTGAGGAGCTGGCTGACAGGCAGCACGCCCTTGAGTGGGGCAAAAAAACATCAAAATCAGATCATCTGCAGGTAATATTTTATGTTCTCAGTTAGCAGATGCAAGAAAAAGTAGTTATCTTCTCCCAGGCTGTTACCATGTACTTCTTATTTTGTATCCTACCTACCATGAACCCTGAGGGTGAGCAGTGGTGCGTCACCTGTGACTGAACCGGCCAGCTTCTCCGGGTCTTTTGTTGCTGCATCATGAGACCTGATTACCTTACTATCCTGAAGGCATCACATCTGGTAGTGTGGCTTCTTTTAAAGGCAGGACAATGCCAGGAGACCTAATTTAAGTAGATAAGCACATGTACATCATAAGCGTAGCAGCAAAATCAGAGCTTTTCCTAGGATATTCAGTATCAGATGATATCCAGTATTCCCAAGTAGCTATAAAGTAATCTTTGGAGGAGTAGAGACATTGTGAATCAAGATTATAATCAAGCCTATAATTTGTTTACCGAAGAAGGAATAACGGGCTGTATTATGCACATTTCTTTCTCGCTACCTGCCCTCTCCCCTACTCTTGTTCTATCAAGTCCATTAACAGTTTCGGGAAATGCGTTCCCAAATGAATGTGAATACTTTCTGACAGCAATAAATCTGTGTGGCAGGAACTCAGAGAAATGGCCACAGTTAGGTCTCCTGCAGGACTGTCTGTAAGTCATCAGGGTAAGGCGAGGTGTAAACAGGCAGGGGAGGGAGCCACAAAGAACATACTCCTGGGTTTTGTAGGTTTTCACATCTTCCTTGGGGAATCCATCCCATTCAGCATTTTCAAGAGCCAAACAAACAAATCAGAAAAATCTGGTCTATTCTGCAAATGCTGTAGCCAGTTATTAAAAAAGGGATATGAATTTTCAAAGTGTAAAAGGTTCCAAATTAAGCTCATATATTTCAGAGATTTAGTTGCACGTTTAAGGAATTATGTATTATTAAAGACATGCTGGGTGCGATCCTGCAACGCTAGCCCTTGCAGTTTTTAGACATGTTGTCCTATTGCTTACTATTATATTATAAACTATATTGACAAATTAAATTATGATGGAAATGCCATAGCTTATCCTCCAGTAGCACATTCTTATTCACATCATATTCCCAAACAGAAAAAGCCCCCCGTGTTCAGTGTGTGGTCTGCAGTCCAAGAAATACTTGAAAAAGCTGCCAAATCCGCTTGTGTGAATCCCAATGCACTCATACATGTTCATTGGAAAAAGAGATGTTTTGCCTTGCTAACAGACTATGCAGGCAGTTTGGGTTGTGGCCTCTAGGATGAACAGACATAATATTTCCAAGGCATTGGATTGGCAATGTTAATAGGCACATTTGAAAAATTACACAGGACTTCTGAAATACATAATTTCCTGATTTTAAAGCAAATACTAATTTGATCCCTTAGAAAAATTAAAACTAGCTTGTGTGCATGAATCTGATGGGTAACCTGTATCTCCAGTGTTGAAGCCAATGTACGTGTATACTGCTCCTTGCTCTGAAGCTTTACCAATGGCTAGAGGAGGCTTTCTTTGCAGACACCCATTTGCTTAATTCATAAAACCTAGGAGGAGCAAAATGCAAGTTACCAGCCTAGAATCGCTGCCCCTCTTTGTTGCGTCTTGGAGGACACAGAGCTGTCCACCCTGTGGCCTCTGGGCAAAGCGACTCGCTGCCTCTTCAGAGTCTCCCCACCTTCCTACATGTATCACTGTCACCTTTGGCTCCTCCAGCTTTGTTGTCTTTAAGTCTTTTAGCTCAAGGTGGCAAAAGTGATTGCAAGATTCAAGGCAAATGACTCAAATCCCAGCTGGATGCCATCAACCCTATCCCTCATAAACCCACTTTGTTTAACACAGTCCAAGACTGTAGCGTTCGAAATGCAATGTTAAGCATAGATATTTCCTATCAGTAAGAAGATCCTGCTAACACATTTTGTATGTATGTTTCATTATTTATCTACTGTAACATGGGGTTGGGCATGTTGGTAAAATTTTATATTTTTCACCATGTTTCCTAGTAGAAAATATTTTTTTAGATAAAATATTTATTTTATTGGCAAAGGTTTCACTTCACCAGGCTGCTCCACTTCTTTGATGAATTGTGGAAGATACGTTTGCATTGGCAACACCTGGCAACCTGGCAGACTCTCTCAGCAGCTGGATTGGTGACTTCAGAGTTGCTTATGGGTCTTTCATGTAATTAGTCTGCTTATGGGCCATCTGGGTCACTTCGTCTTTGCTGTTGCAATGTCCTTTCTTTTCTGAGGAACTGTAAGCTCTGCAGTTCGTTCTCCAGGAGATCAGTTTTGAGTAACTCTTCCTCAGGTTGGTCTGCTGGGTTTTGTGCAAACGTTCATGCTGGCCTTGCCCAGAGGCTGGAACCCTGCTTTTATCCTTCCTTCTTTCTTGGAGGTCTGAATCTGTACCTCATGCCTTTTTGTGGTGCTGGAGCATAGCTCATTGCTACCAAGCAGGAAGCTGGAGGTCATTTTGGCAAGTGGACATGTACTGCCTCTGCACAAATAAAGCCCTAAACAATCTCAACTCTTAGCAGTAAACACATGCATGCACGCACACACACAAACGCACACACACACACACACACACATACTTCTCTTCTAGTTCAAGCAAACTAAAGTTACCACAAGGAAATGCAATTGCTCATTTGCCGTGTTAAGACCTGCAAGTTGTTAAGCTTTACCCTGATAGGCCTACCTGGGTGCTATCAGACATGGGCTGGGCAATACATATGAATTAACTGGGACTGATCACTGGGATGTAAGAAAGTTCTTCCTGCTGTGGCTCAGCAGCTGAAAACTGTAGCTGTTCAGTTTATCTGCGCTTTGCCAAATGCTAACATACCTCTGAACTCACTGGGGTTTATTGTGGTGCTGCAGCAATGCCAACTGTCCCGCGTACACTCAGCAGGGCAGTGCAGTGAGCACAGCGCAGACTTCATGTGCTCTGCGGAGAGCTGCCTTTGCACCTTACATGGCGGGGACTGCTTCTGCGGGGACAGCCATGGCAGCGCCCTCCAAGCCTCCAGATGTGGAGGTTAGACATTACTCATCTATCTGC